GCGCACTGTGCCCTGTCGTATCACGCCAATAGCCTTCGCTTCATTGCCAAGGGATGTTTTCCCAAGTACAGTTGCGCCAATGAACGGGCAAAGTGGCTGTCACTGCAGCAACGACGATAAATCGGGTCGTTCATGGCCGAAGTCGTCCACTTCGCAAGCGGGGGTCAAGTCGGGGGATCGCTTCCTCCGTACTCTGCACCGAGTGATTCGACAAACACGGGCGCAATACTCGTCAAACAAAGTTTGGGGCCAAGGTTTGCTGAGCGCGCCGATTGGTCTCTCCCGACGATGAATCATGCCCGCGCTTTTTTCGCCCAAGTTCGATTGGCGCACCCCACGAACCTTCGGTACCACCTTAGATCTGTTTGTCGAGTCCAGAGCTCCAAGATGCAACAACTTTTGCTGCAGAAGCTTATACGATTGTACGGGTTTTAAAAGAGTGCGCAGCAACAAACTGATACCGCGAGGGCATGATGGCGTCTTCCCAATAATTTTGTTGCTACACCGCCTCGTTCATTCTATAAAATCTGCACCGCCACGCATCAGCAGGTTATCGCTGCTTCAAGTGAAGAGTTGCCTTTTATCAGAAAATTTATCGACTTCAGTCACATTTGTAATTTTTTATTTTTCTCCTGCGTGTTGGTTATCGTTATTTATAAAAGAAAGTAGTCCAACTTATATAGAGTCACTGAATATGTATAGAGTACCGCGTTTCATAGCGTTCTCATCAACCGGAGCATCAAGTTGATACACCTCTCTAATTGGCTGACATTAAATACATAGATTGACCGGTTCGTGAATTTAGCTCACCACTGTGAATTTCGGTCGCTCGGAAGATGAAAGGCATGTTGGTTTTAAAGCATGAAATCCTTTTTAACTCTAGCCCCTTCCCCTTTCCCAAAATGCTGTCCGTCCGTCCGTCCATTTTCTCGCTAAATTTAGCGGGGAAATTGATCTAACGAGCCCTACACCCGAATTCAGTTTTCCCGCTAAATTTTACGGAAAGTTTGACGTCACGTGACCTGACGTCATGGGGCCCACACACCAATTCAGTTTCCCTGCTAAATTTAGCGGAAACATTTACATCACATGACCTGTTCATCAATTCAGCTTCCCCGCTAAATTTGGCGGGGAAATCGATGTCACGTAACCTGACGTCACGTAAACTATACACCGAAGAAGTTTCCTCGCTAAATTTAGCGGGGAAATTGACGTCACGTGACCCGACGCCGCCTGACCTTTACTATATATCGATGCCACGTGACCTGTACTATACAAGGCTGTATGTAGTCTTTTAACAAATTAAAACGATCACTTCTTGAATATTGTATCTGATACGTTTTAGGACTTCGAAGGTAAAGTTCGCTGCCAATTTTGACTATGCTCCGTTTAGCCTTACGACGAGCGACAGCGGACACTACTAGCCATCGGAGCTTGTTCAATGTCGGGTCACGTGATTCTTGGGACAGGCGCAGTGATGCGCGAAGCGCTTATTCACGCGGTACGTCCGCAGCGCTGGATCGGCCGGAACGACGGAACGACTCGTAGTGTTAGATGAGGTCTATTGTACACTGAAACGGAGTACTGGGAATTCCTTTGTCAAGTAAACTGTAATGATGTCCGCGGTCCGTTTGCCCGCCAGATGTCAGCTCTGTCCTCAAGTACGAATTCGTGCGCAGGGTTGCCATTTTGAAGCCATCGTAAAGCGCTGGGACGTGGTTATGAAACAAAGCCTGGAAGCTTCGGCACTCGGGAAGTGTTTAGTTGCACCATTTCAACCTACAGACTGAACTCTTGCAAGAGTTCAGTTTATGCGTTGCACAAGTTCGTCTGCTACTTTTGCAGGGCTTGTGGTGACGTCAGAACGCCGAGCTCCGATTCGCTGCGATTGAAGGGTAGCGGGTAGATCTCGAGGCAGCCTGCCTTGATGTCTACCCACTATCCTTCAATCACAGCCAATCAGACCTCGGCGTTCTGATGTCACCACAACCCGTGCGAAAGAAGCAGACGAACTTGCGCTGTGATATGTTCAGTATTTTTTTAGAAATTAATTAACTTGATCATGACACTCCTCTATGCGGCCGATTTAAAGCTATAGCCTAGTTGTCTATGCTCCGGAGTCTTTTTTTTTATTTTTTTTTTTTTTAGATGTACTAAGTTTTGCGGAGAAAAAGAAACGTGATTTTGTCACAACAAAAGAAAAACTATACACGTCACTGAGCGCTTAGTCTCCGCTCAAATGTAGCGCGAGCAGTTGAGATCAGATGCCAAAGTTTTGGAGGTTTCCGCCTGTCTGATTCTGAAAATACCATCGATTTTCGAGAATTTTTCAACGAGAAAATGTCTGCCAACGAAACGCCTCCGAATGCGTAGATATGAACGGCGTGTACTACCGGGTACCGAATCACTTTATCTTTTTGGAGATAGCTTAAACCTTTTAAATTGAAAAAGCGGTAAGTTCTGAAACTTTGGCATCTGGTCGGAGGCTAAGCGTGCGGCATTACGTATTGTTAATTTTTTCTTTCTGTCAGAATTTTTTTTCTTTCGTCTGCAACTTGTGGTTCTGTGTCTTGACTTAACGGTTCCCACAAGCTTTCGTCCAATAGACCCTTTCAGGAACTCAGTCTGGCCACTCCGATCCCTATCATCATCTGAAAAATGGCATATGTGCTATTCTAATGGCGGTCTTCTGTTTACTGATGAAGGAAAAAGGTGCAGATGCTTCTAAGCAGATGATTCGAGGCCTATGTATTCTAGAAGTTAGCGCGACGTGAAGCAGGAATTGGATGGAAGATCTGCGTAAGCGTTGATTTCTAACTCGGGCCCAATCAATCTGGTAGTGCGCGCACTCGGCTTCAAAGCCCCTTGATGTATCGAACTTTATCCAGGCGTCTATGTGGGTTGGCACTACGTTCTGGCTGGTTGCATCTTTTTTGCCATTGACACTGAAAGAGATTAAAAAAAAAAAATTGTACAGTGTAGCGCACATTCTCGTTTACCGTCGATTTGCGAAGGTGACGGTGCCCCATAAAACACTGCACACCACAGGTTCATGGCCGCCATTAGTATACGGTAAAAGTTAAACTGCCATTTGAGTCACCAGATGGCACTGAATTCCGAAAGGGTCTATTAAGACGCCAGAAAAAGTTACGCCCTCGCGCCAGTACCTTCGACATCGTGGTATGCCAAGCATGAAACGAAGCAATAGACACTCCACTTCCGGAGTTTCCTCCAAGATGATGAAGCGTTGTGGGAGGGACGAACACGTGGTCATTACAAGGTGATGTAATGCCTTACACCAGGACGCGTGCAAACAAAGCTCACTGCGGATCTGCGGTGTCGCATCTGTACCTTCGAAAGGACTGTACTCAATTAGTGTATTGTTAATTTTTTTTTCGAGTAGTTTTAGATCAACGCCCCACATGAAACCCCTCGGTCATACGGGGCCATTTGTAAGAAAAAAGCTTAGTGTGCGCACAGGCGCAAATAACTGGTAAAACTGCACAATTGCCGGACATTGTGGGAGCTATATATCATAATCGCTGTCAACTTAAGAAACTCCAGGTGTGGCCACGCCCTTTATTTCTTAAGCTCTCACTCAGAATATAGAAAGTAGCACGAAAGATGGCAAGGAAGTCTTCGTCGAATGTACTATGGAAGGTACACATAAAAAAGTCATCAGCCCTTCTGAAACTCCGGACTTCCACGCTGTATCGTGCATTTTATCCTCCTTGACCGTAGAGCTGGCGAGACAAATTCCGGTAGGTTCGAAGCAATTTAGCGGTCTGTCGGTGCCTTGCTTGCGCCATGGAGGAATGCTCAAAAGACGAAACACAAATAGAAAAAAAAAAGTATTTTTGACAATGCACCGGGACTTGAAGTGCACGGCACGTGTCAGTTGAGTCTCTATCGGTAAGAAGATTGTGCGATGCCGAGGACCCTTGTCGCTTCGACAAGATTCGGCGTCTGCAGAACGCTACGAGAGGGTGAACATATTGACGTTGTGCAGATTCATCAAATATAGTGTCTGGCCGTTGTCTAGTCGCGCTGCCATTTTTTAGCGCGAGCTTCAAAATTGTTAATGGGCTCCTAGGTTGAATGAGTAGTCTGTAAAGAGCTGTGATATCGGACAAGTCGGTGCTTAATGACATACGCTCTTTTCCTCACTACAGTCCACGGACTATGCATCTAAAAGTATAAAATTTCCGCGGTGTGAACTATCTACAGGAGCGACCTATACAATGATTTTTTTTTTTCAAATCATTCCTTATGATCAGTCGCGACATATTTTGTGGATGACAGAGTATGTTAATGATGATTTATGTATGAATCAACCTTCTTTTTGGGCTAATAAAACAAGCATTTGTTAAGGTGTGTTATGTTTAAAAATGTTTTATGTGCTGACTATAGGCTCCAGATGCGTACTTAATGATCTACACGTCGCGGCTCGAAGAATAGTACTCCTCTTAGGTGATCCTTCATTCCTCATTGCGCTGTTGCGAGCTTATGGAGTTGTGTCACTTAGCCTGTCACCAATATTTACAATGCGTCAAAATTCCAAAATCACTGTGCACTCAGTCTGTGCTAAGGCGAGACTATCGTAAAATAAAATATATCCTGATTGCAACTATTCTTTGACGAGTCTTTAATTTTCATCCTTACCCTCCAAATAAAATGTGGGTACCACGGTTTCTCTTCGCTCCGTGCTACGTTCCCGACCTTTTCTGGACATTCGTGTAGGCCATTTCTTTGCAAAATTTCAGATTTCCTAACCAAGCTTTCTATTTTTTTAATCAATATCTTGCGACCTCCTTTCTTTTTTTAACCAGACTATTTAATCACAGATCACGGCGATCCGAACGCAAAGACTGTGCATCCTACCTTCTACGCGGCGCTAAAAAGTGAAAGCCTTCACACGACCAGAATTCCATTCACACACAGCCATAAAGGAAAACAAAAAGACGCGAAGCGGTACCACATTCGAAGCTATGGTCACTTACCTGCCCAGCAGGTGACCAGTGCAGCGAGGAGCGTGAGGAGCCTGATCAGCATAGCGCTCCAAAGATCCACTGAGCCGTAACAGCAGGCTCCCAGACACTTATCCGCATCCGCTATCTCCAGCCAAGGTCTCAAGTCCAAGAGCTGCGCACAGATGTCGCTCCGGGCGCGAACGTCTTCTTACGTAAGCCTTGTTCTCTCAGGCGGAGCGAGACGCCGAGCGTCGAGAGTAGATGATGGGGCCTTCCCTCTTCTCTCGCTGTGGCTTCTCCTCGACCGTCTTGTGCGTCAAGTGAAGCGAACTGATCAATCTGGGGTGCCGGCTTCCGGTTGCAGACCCGCTGTTCAACCCTGGTTAGTCAAAGCGCCCTTATCGACTGTTGTGGTCTCGGGAGTTAAAGCAACAACTTATCTCTGTCTACGGCCTCGTGGACCTGTGACGTGTTTTGTCACTTGAGCCTACTCCCCTCGTCGTCCGCGAATTTTGTTTTCTTTTTACGTTGAGTCTCGTGCGTACATGGAAAGGAAGGATCCTAATTGGTCACTTCAAAACGCGAGTGTTACCCAACAGTCCTCTGAAGAGAGATAGTGTGTGTCATCGCATAAAGATCATGAAAGATATGATGGCCAAGTGCTAAAGTGGGAGTGAAACATAGCATATCATTAACATATAGTGACATGAAATTACCATAGCTCGATGTCAAATTGCAATGATGAATTCATGTTATCATCGGCTAATGCTAAAGGCACATCAGTTCTGGGTTCCATCCACACATTAATAACAAAGCGATACAAGAGCTTAAAAAAAAAAAGATCAGTGTCTGATGTTGGTGGCAGATCGATCTGCAACAACTATGAGTCTGACGATTTTTCAATTTTTAGGGGCGAAGCTCGTTAGGGTCTAGCCTTGTCCGTCCGTCCGTCCGGTCGGCGTCCGTGCTCACATAAAGAAGAAAAGAATGTTTGCGCAGTCGACAGGATTCGAACCTGTCCTGGGAGGCCCCAATGGATTTCTAGACGACTGCGAGACGAGTAGGGGGCTCTGAGATGTGGTAGCAACTCAAGAGCTGGTGTTTCTGTCATGAATGAAACGTTGCATGTAGCCGCTCAACGCCTATACATGAGAAGGCGCTGCGGTCAAATGAGTATATAATCGCGTTAAACTTTGCATGCATTGGCTCAACGTTTAAAGACGAGAAGGCGCTGCGGTCAAATGCTCAAATACGTATATAACCGCGTTCCATACCACACATTCTCTTTCTGACATGGAGCGTTGACTTAAGCGGTGGAGATGCGTTCCCACGGCTTCTAGCGGATCCAAGCTGATCCGCTAGAAGAACCACTGGCTCTGCATTTCACCGACCATAAAGCAGTAATAATGAAGTCGAAACGCAACCCGGAACTCAGCACTACCTATGAGCAATAAAAAAAATCAGCACCATCAGCACTACCTATGAACAATAAAATCAGTATTATCAGCACCCCCAGAGCTTCGCCCCAATCAACATCATTCACCACGTGGAGATGCGGTCTTTTTCTTTTTATCAACAGTATGCATATATGACTCACGAAATGAAACATACTCGTGCTTTAAAATCTTTTCTTACTGATTCCATCAGCTAAGACATGAAAGACATGTGGTATAGAATCTCCCAGATGTTAACACATTACTCCATTTAAGCCGTCAGGGACCATGGCTCCCTTCCGTTCGTCGACACTCCCTGTGAGAGGCTGGAACGAACCGGTTCTGCAGATTACTATCATCATCGACGTCGATCTGTGAGTGTTTCGAAGCTATCTAAAACAGGGACTACGCTTGTTGTTTGCCATTATCGTATATGCCTCGTGCCTCCTCAGAAGCCCTCTTATGTTGCCGGGGCTCTCTGACAACCCCCTCCGGTCTTCGGGATCGGATCTCCCAGCCGAACGATAAAAAACATTTACGCTCCTCCTAGGCCCTCTTGAATATTTGATGAAGGTGTTTCTGAAAGCATTTATCTGCCAAAAGATGACATGCGAAACTGCTTGGTGGTCTGGCAGCACTGTGCACGCGGCCATCTTAGTAGCGTCAAGTACCTTGAGTTTCGGTTTCTCAACATTTCCAAGGCATGCATGGAGGCTCTGCCACGATGTGCGATTCGGAAACTTTATTGCTTTCTGACTTCCGATCTCACAACGTGGGCAAAGGACCATGACCATCATGCCTTTCACCTCTGAGGACACTTTTAATTATTTTTCCGATGTGAATACGCTTGAAGTCGTACTGTTTAGCGGTAGACTACTCCACGCCAATACATGTGGCAGAGGTTTAGGGTTTTTGCAGTTATTACTGGCGAAAGCTTTTTTTTTTTTTTGTGGAAAAATTTGTGTTTATTTTTTTTTTTTTTTTTTTTTTTTAAGGAAACTTGGTCCTGGGCAATATTTTTTAGGCGTTGCAAAGAGCTCGAATTGGTTTCAGATAGCATCGACCTCAAGTACAGTTCACGGCGGTTGCGCTATTAATAAAGATTTCTTCAACCCTGGCAGAATAGCAGCATTGACTTTCTCAAAATTACTTCCCGAGCTTCTTTGCACCAAACAAAATTTTTACCTAGGCTGCGACAAAAAAAAAAAAAAAAAGGAAATTGTGAAATGAAGTTGGTACCGCCCATCCGCAACGTAAGCTTTCGCTTTCGCAGACATCGAAGTTTTAGCCACTGCGATGAACCTAAGTCGAACGCCAAGTTCCATGTAATCGAACGTAACGCTCGACAAAAAGAAATGAAAAGAGGAAAATCGTTTTTGTAAGTGCTGAGCAGACAGACACGTCACCTGTGTGTGTTGTGTTTTCTATACTACATCACCGCGCTTTAAAAAATCAGGAATATCACATAAAAAAACCCTCCTGTTTAGTTTTCGAGGTGTTTTACAAACCTCGTTTACCGACGTCAGATCGAGTGTATAGAAATCGCTGCCAAGCAATGAGATTGACGAGAGTAATCCCTGGAGAAGGGGAACAAGGGGGACAAAGGACAAACATAAATCTCCAAACACAGCTAGGTGACTGGTGAGCGACCGAAAAAATCCGCCTGGTCCGGGTATCGAACCCGGGACCTCTCCATTACACGTGGAGCGCTCCACCAACTGAGCTAACCAGGGGTTAGACGTCAGTAGAGCAAACGGGTTTTATCAGCTGCCACCAGTCGAACACCAACAAGGGTGAAGCTTGCAATTGAAGCTTGCAGCTGATAAAACCCGTTTGCTCTACTGACGTCTAACCCCTGGTGAGCTCAGTTGGTGGAGCGCTCCACGTGTAATGGAGAGGTCCCGGGTTCGATACCCGGACCAGGCGGATTTTTTCGGTCGCTCACCAGTCACCTAGCTGTGTTTGGAGATTTATGTTTGTCCTTTGTCCCCCCTGTTCCCCTTCTCCAGGGATTACTCTCGTCATTCTTGTCCAGCTCGCTTGCACCTTTGCATTTAATTGCATTATAATTATAAACTTAAATTGCAAGCTTCACCCTTGTTGGTGTTCGACTGGTGGCAGCTGATAAAACCCGTTTGCTCTACTGACGTCTAACCCCTGGTTAGCTCAGTTTGTGGAGCGCTCCACGTGTAATGGAGAGGTCCCGGGTTCGATACCCGGACCAGGCGGATTTTTTCGGTCGCTCACCAGTCAACTAGCTGTGTTTGGAGATTTATGTTTGTCCTTTGTCCCCCTTGTTCCCCTTCTCCAGGGATTACTCTCGTCATTCTTGTCCAGCTCGCTTGCACCTTTGCATTTAATTGCATTATAATTATAAGCAATGAGATTGTTTTCCGTCTTTCCAAAGTGTTTAATTTTTTTATATATATATATAACATTAGAATGAGGGCTTTGTGGTACTTCTGCTTTTGTTGTTCACTGTTAGCCACACGCATCTTCAATTATTTCTGGTGGCGTAGATTATTAAAATTGTCGTCTTTTTGCCTCGCTTAACAGCCACGGTCTCGTCTGCATACACTGAGCGGCTTGCGCATTCAGAAAAACGCAGGCCGGCACCCACAACGTGCATAAAAAAAGAAAAAAAGTTGAGAAACAAATTTGGTACAACTTGGTGAAAAGATTAGGGCCCAGTTCAATAGTTGTAAATGGCTTCACGCCGCGCGATAACGTCCGCATGTCTCTTCGCGTTGTCACCGATTGTTTTTGTCAAAAGCTGCGTCTCAAGTAACGAATAAAAATAAGAAAAAATTGTGAACACTCTTCACGTTTGCTTTTACGTCACGCACAAATTGAAGGTTTATCGCTGCATCCGCAGCGAAACGCAGCAACGCGTTGGCAACGCACCTCTCGCACGAGGCGCGGTCGCTTGTTTACACGGGGTCTTTGCCGGTCGGGTCACTGGTTTCTTTTTCTCGTCGCTGCCAAAATGGCGGTCGGAGTTCTCGGAGCTCTACTAGATAACCCTCTACATTTCGCATATGCTCTAATAGGCAATATGCGAAATGTAGACCCTGAAAAGCACAAGTTGTGCTTTTGGGAGTACTTGAGGCGCGTTTCGGAGAGTGCTAACACCACACATCTTGACCATTTCGAGATTGCTGTTTTTTCAAAACTTAATAAATTAAATCTAATTTGCTTTAAGACTGATTAGAACAAAATATTGCCTCTTTCTCGAGTCGGTCTTCACACTTGTTTGTCTATAAACGGTACCTCTGAAGCCGACAACTAAAGGAAGGACACAAAAAAAAAGAGTTGAAAAGGAAACATTACCTGACCATGTTGCTACGAGCGTGAAATAAATACTAGATGCACGATGTAATTTTTCAGTCGTTGGAATGCCGACTCACTTAATGACATCCCAGCTCCCCATATGACTCTAGTATTTAAGTACTACCCGCACCGAACCAGTACTTGAACTTTGTTAATATAAAAAAAGAGATCTGAGAATTGCGCTCTTTTAACCCTTCTAGATATTTATTTTGGATTCTGAATTATAATTTTTTTTTTTCAAACTCATTTGAGATGCCAGTGCAACAGAGGCGCAAGTGTGTGACCAAAGTTTGGAAGATGTATTTAATAATTTTCACTCGAGCGAACTTACCCTCCCGAAAAGATAACATCTGAGATCCGAAAACTTGCTGGAATTATAGCTGATCATAAGTTTTGACAACAGCAGCTGCTGTGGCGCGGAAGTTGAATGAATAATCAAGGTTCTTCGTTGTTTTTGTTTCGAATATGACGTAGTGCGGCTTATGGCAGCTGATGTGAGTCTGATTCAGCGAAGATTAAAGTTGAACAATCTTTACAAACATTGTGCAAGTTGAATATTTTGTGCGCGAGAGGATTTGTGGGAAGAGTTTTTGTGTCAATGTCTTGCTTCATGTTACTTCCACAACATCCACTTGGTGACTGCAAGAACACTGTGCTCATAACGAAACCCGAGAACAAGTGAAACCCTAAAATTTACGAATTAAATTGCTTAAGATAACAGCGTGAATGGTAACCAAGAGTACCAAAGACCATGAGTGACCAAATTTTGGAAAAGAACGATGAGCTCCATCAAAGCTCTCGGGAGGCAACATGTGGCAAGTGGGTCCAACTGTTTCGGGCCCCCTTACAGAAAAAAAAAAAAAAAAAAAACATTCTGATGGTCATGAAACACGTCAACATTCACATGTAGCTGCGCACATGCGCAGCAATAACTGATATTTACCATTTATAACAGACGCTTCTCTACATTACCATGGTCACAAAAAAGGTGATTGCATTTTTAGATAACACAGAGTCATGTCACCAAGCTTAAGAAGACAGCATCTTGTCAGGCTTGCTGACATGCGTCTAAATCGAGCGAAAAAAGAGCGCGGCGATAAAGGTCGGCAAGGCTATTCCAGATCTTCCTAAGCAGACGTGTTTTTCCAGGAAATACAAAAGGGCATGGCAAGGGAATTTGAGTCCCTGCACAGTGCACGCCCCTGGACGACGACGCTCTCTTGTTGATGGTTGGCCACTCGACTCCTTCGTCGCTGTTGGCCGCAGAGAGGACGAGAAAGCCGTATCTTATCCAGCTGCTTGCAGGCGGCGTGTTCGCCGCCGCACAAGCCGTTTTCCACGACACCGCATGCCGGACGCTTGAGCGTCCAAGACGCTTCTCAAGTGTCCCTCAAGAGGCCCCCGCGAGAAGTCTTCCGCGATAAACCGACGATGACCGACCTCCGCCCGTGACCGGGGTGGCTGGACGGAACTGAAGGTCAACCATGTTGAGGTCCTCCTGTTTCTCGCCACACGGCGCTCCACTGGTTCCTCGGCCTGAATTGTTGTCTGTATAGACACGGCCTCTAGGCTTCGCCGTCACGCTGCCAGCGTGTGTAGATCGTCTGATAGTCAAGCTGTCAGGGGGTTTCTAAGGCGTGCCCAGAGTTGTCAGATTGGCGTCCAAACAAATCATTTTTCATGCACAATGGACAGACTAGCTTCTGAAGTGTGGCATGTTGCAAATATGCATCCCCCTTCGCGCATTAGAGCCACTATAGTTTGTTGTAGCATAGCATCTGTAGAAGAGGCTCCGCCCACAAAAAGTAAAGCTCCACCCACAAAGAAGATGGCTGACGTTCCACACTCTTAGAAAAGTTTACAGTCTGTCTTTTGTATGATGTACGAGCAGTGTGACCCTGGCTTCATATTCAACTTTATAACTTGTGCGTAGTACTGGAATATCCAAGGATGCGAGCGCACGTTAATTGAAAAAGCTTAATTTCACCGAACTATATTTGGGGAATGTACTTCATACTCGAGAGCTGTACCTCCCTCGGAAAGTACCTGAAAAAAACTTTTTTTTTTATATTTAAATACACGTACATACTCAGAGAATCTACTTCAAGTAAAGTACGACTTTTCTAAACCTACTTGATGTAGTACTCTAAGTACAATGTACTTCAAGTATACTTCCCAACACTGGTTCATTTCCAAACTTCGTCCCATTCTGTTATGGCAGAATGGCGCGGCTTTATTGCGTAAAGCATTTATATCCGAGAATTTGCGGGCGGATCTACTCCTGCAGGTCTCACGTTGCAAGTTGCGACGGAGTAAGTGATACGTTTTCGGGGGCCGCAATAAAAACAAACAACTTGGAACTAAATCCAGCTCCAAGTGTGGCTCGGGTGCAAGGAGAGATATCAAAGACGCGTGGCGGTGTCAACTTTTGCTCGGCGATTTTTCAGAGTGCGCCTGCCTCAACCTTCCTTTATCAGCTCTAATATTGAGCGTCCGGCTATAAAATAAAGCCGGAAGCAGTCTTGTGCCGTCCTCATTACAAGTTATAAAATTACTCGTAATCGCTTACTTTTTAAAGTAATTTTGTAACCATTTGGTTACTTTCATAGGAAAGCATAATCAGGAGATACTTTTAAACTTGGCTATTTTTCTTTCCCTTTTTGATGGCGCCCTTTATTTCTACAAGTTTACTACTAAGGAATCCTCGAACCTAGTTCAAATATTGTGTATCAAGGGGATGAGTAGTTCATAATCCGGTGATCCAATCTAATAATGGTTAGTACAAATGAAAATGTTTTCAAACTGGCAAGAAAAGAAATCTGTCGTTTTTGAAAATTTGAAGGAATCGAAAAAGTAACCGTCACTTCTTTCGATTAACGGCCAACTCCTTTTCATCTCAAGTAATCAAGTAATCTAATTGAATACTTCGTAACTCCACCTAATCTTGTACACGTCACTCGAAAAAAAATAAAAAGCAATCGATAACAATCACAATTACTCTCACTTAAGGCACAAAACGCGGCATTGATTTTGTGTTTGTTGCCCCTTTCTTGAGCAGCAGTGCGCGAGACTTTGTGGCTCGGCTCAACTATAGTCAATGGCAGAGTGAGAACGGCAGGCGGTCTCTTTCTGATGTCCGACATCGTTGCCTTCCATCGTGCTTTGGCTGCGTGTGCACGCTCGATGCTCACGAAACGCCCAACTGTTACCCAAGGCAAGAAGAAGGATCTTTCCTGCCATTCTCATCAATGACAGTAGTTGAACCCCGACAGTTCTATGTTTGGAGACACGGTCGACAAGCTGGAGATTTCTCGGTTTATATCACGTTGGCGGGCGTGCAGGGACGCTCGGGATGTTTCCTCCCCACGATACGCTCAAAATACTTTACTAGGGGGAATACCATCCCACTCCCCGATATTACAATGGCCTCGGCGCGGACAGGTTTGGCGCCATTCGAATGGCTAGATGACCAACAGCCTTGGGAATTTTCGCATTGAGTTTTTCTCTACCTACTGCCGCAGGCCGTTCGGTCGATGCAAGTGTTTGCTCAATACGGGTCGTACGTTGTTCCCTAAACATTTTAGAGCAAATAAGATGTTTTTTCCTGGCGTGGCGAGACCTCCAAACCGCTGGGGGAGAAATGGGCGCAATAGGCCGTTCGCCTCATTCAAATGAGCGTATGAGGATGTTTTGACACGCTCTTGTTTCGTCGTATATGCCAAGGCCCTTTTGTTATGGTGTGTATGGCTTTCATCTCAGAATCAGAATCGGTTTATTTTTGTCACAGCGCTTTTACACACATGTGACAAGGGGGGCCAGGAAAAAAAGCTACAAGTTTGCAGCTTGACGGGTTCCTGCGCCCCAAAACACAGGGCAGAGCGGCACTGTCACCAAAAACACACACAAAAAAAGACAGTCAAAATAACTTACGTGACATGACATTTAGCAATATATTAAGTATCGTCTCAATACACATTGAAATAGATAGATATAACAAACATAAGACAAACAATCTATTTATTACCGGCAAGTTTAAATTTTACGGACATTTAACGAAAGTTTACCAACACTCATCTCCACTCTGAGTGTCTGACTGTCCACTCTGACTGTCTCACTCTGACTGCCTGGCGACAGTCAGAGTGGCGGGCGGGGTCCAAAAATATGCACCCGTCCGCCACTCTGACCGTCGCCAGATGACAGCCATCCACTGTGAACAAAACGGCACAGGCATATACTACACCGATGCAAATTCCCACGAAGGCACGGCATACACAACCGTCCACTGTACAACGGGAGCGATCACCCACAAGCATACCTATGTCCCCAAGGCAACAGACGCAGAAGAACAAGCAATTCTCGAAGCCGTCACGCTGCACGCGCACCCCACCACGAATGTCGTACTTCGTACGGAGAGCCAGGAAGCTCTATGACATTTTGAGCTCAACACACTACCTCCCCACATCACTGCAGAACTGCAGCGCTACCACCACCTCCATCCCCTCATTCAAATTCCCACATTCACCTAGCATGGATACCAGGCCATCAAGGCATCACTGTGAATGAAGCGGCTCATTCCGCAACCCAAAAATCAAGATCCGGGTTTCCGATACCCCTGGCCATCGGCTCCTCCTCAAGCTCTCTCGCGGCAGCAGCTTCAAGAACACCATGCACGCCTTCGCGCGCTGCGGCATAACGCTCGCTCTCTAACAATCATCCCGCCTGCCGCACTTCGAGAGGACGCAAGCATCCTTAGACAGGCAAAGACCAACTACCCACTCAGCGATCTCTTTCTCCATCATATCACCCAACAACATGGCTATCCCCAGTGCAAGGTCTGCGGAGGCAATCCCACTCCCAGGCACACCTACTGTACATGCGCGCGTGCAGCTTAGCCATTTCAATAACATATCCTTCCCTTCTAACACTCCCCCTCCCTCCTCCTTGGAGCACTGGGTCACTCCACCACCCGAACTTCAAGCCATCTATTGGCCACGACTGCTACAACATATTGAAACCATCCACGCCATCAACTCGTTACGTCCATAGGCTTCCCGGACTGGGGATTAATTTTAATTTGTCTCGTCATTAATGAAGTATTCTCTCTCTCTCTCTCGTGGTCCCTCCATTTCCTTCCCCCTTTCCCCGGAAAAAAGAAAAAGTCTTATTCGTTGATTTTTTGCCAACCTTATCGTACGTTTCGACGATTGGGTTATTCCAGCTTTCACGCCCTCGCATGTTTTGATTATTCCCTGGCAGTTCGCCTGTCAGCCGAGATGAAAGCCGAGATTGCATCGAAAGGCGCGTGACGCTACGTCATATTTAGAAGCAAGTCCGAGGGTGGCGTAGATATCGTGGCCAGTAAGCATACGCAAGAGTTGTTTTTTGAGTATGGAACTACGCACCTTTTGAGCGCTCATCACCCAGGCAAAAGGGCCGATTCACTGGGCTGGCGGCGCATGCGCGGTGTCCAATATTCCGCAGAACTTACAGCGATGG